ATTGTGTCTTAAATACTTTTAATTTTATTTCTTAACCTATTTTCTGAAATTAATGCCTATAAATACTTTTTGAAAAACCCTTTTCATTCTTTACTGTCTCTTTCAACTTAAGTTTTTTTCTATACTTTTCTCTTAAAACCCTTTTCTTCAATTTCTCATTTCTAAAGAACTTCAATGGCTTCTTCTTCTTCTACCCACTCTGAGCAATACATTATACCTGAAAGAACAACTCTCATTCTGGTAGAAAGTTTGGAAGTTTTGAGTGAGCTAATGGTGGACTTTGAGAATCTCAGAGAGAATGGATTTGACTTGTTCCCTGCTGTGAAGTTTCAAGGTTGGGAAAGCTACTTTGATCATCTTATTGGTCCAGTCTTTCCACATTTGGTGAAAGAATTCTGGATTCACGCTATTGCAACCCCCAAGGTTATTCTCTCCTTTGTAATGGGAAAGGAAATATCCATTATAGAAAATCAAATCAGAAGGTTGTCGGCACTTAAAGGACTTGGAGTTACAGGAATGCCCAGTGGAAGAATGGAGATGTCTAGGGTATATTCAGAGATTTTTACCAACGGTCAAGGTTCCTCCAAAGTCAGGAATTTGAAGGACAAATATAAGATTTGGGCAAGGATTATTCATGGATGTATTCACCACAGGAAAGACACCAGTTCTCCTGATTACATCAACGTTGATCAACAATATTTGCTGTTTTGCCTTGGAACCAATGTCAAAATTGATTTGCCCTACTTGCTTTTTGAACATCTCTGGAACCATGTCAAAGAAACTAGAAAAGCTGAAAGGATAAAGAATCCCAAATCAAAGAGGAATTGGATTCCTATGGGGAGGTTATTATCATACATTCTGATTGAGAATGGTCTGATTTCTCACCTAAAAGAAGCAAATCTTCTGGGGGAGCTTGAACCTATCTGTGGTAAAACTATGACTGGAAAGAACTTGCTGAAAAGGAAAATCATTGACAAACTGCTGGTGGAACCCACTCCATGTCTGTCAACTATTGTGAAGAGGAGAAGAATTCCTATTGCTGACTTTCCTATGTTCAACTCAGAGGATCATCCTCGTATGGTTTTGCACTATCTTGAGACCTGCAAAGAAACGGGATCACCCATTGATCCAGCTTGGCTTCAAGGAAGAAATCAAGCTGCTCCTGATGTTGTTCTCCAAGAATCTGTGAAGAGAAAAGCTGTAGAAGGACCTTCTGACACTCCTCAGAAGAAGAAAAAGAAGACAGGTAATCATGCTGAAATTATACTTGTTTATGATTCTGAAAATGTATCTGCATCTGCTGAACCCTCCCAAACCTTAGGAGACTTAGATGTCGACATTGATCTGACCTTACCATCTGAACCCATTGCTGACAACCCTCGTAAAAATCAGTTTTCAACAGATTTAAGTGATTCTGACTCTGATGAACATTCTGACAGCCAATCAGAACCCCCTGAACCATCTATTTTTCAACCTATTCCTGTTGAACGTTTTTCAAGACCCCCTCCCAGACCTCTACCACCCAGACCCACTGGATGGTATGATGCTGGCTCTTGGAGAATTCCAGGGATAAATGAACCTCTAACAACCATAAAACCTCCTTTCAACCTACCATTTGAAAATATTTTTGCTATGAATCAACCACAGCCTCAAAATCCCATTCCCACTCCTGCTTATACAATAATAATTTCGCCTGATGTCACTCCACCCACTTCACCACAACATACAACACCAATCTCAACTCCTCAAATTCCAGAACAACAACCTTTTGAACAAACTGAAACTGCTGAACCATCTGTACCTCATGAAATATCAGAACCTCCTATTTGTGTTAACCAACCTGAACCTACAAATAATCTTGAACCCAATAGCTTTTTAAGAATTGTAGTGGAATTTCAATCTCTACAATTCTTGAAAAACAAAACTCACAGAATGACTGTCCCTAAACCTGTTCAGCCAGATGTAAATACTTTGTTTCAGAATTTTATAACAAATGTTCAAGCATGGTTACAACCGCTGAAAGAAGATTGCTCCAGAAGTGTGAACACAGCAGCAACAGATCTTCTATGGGAAACCTTCAGAAGAACTTTGGTTGCTGAATCACGGAAGTTACAGGATTTGTGCCATTCTCAGGTGCTGGGCAACTTTTCCAAACTTCTGCATGCTTTCAAGACAGAAGCTGTTGACACTTGGAATAAGAAGTCTTCACTAATGATTGTTGATACACCAACTGATAAGATGGACATATCAGAAGATGAATCTGAAGAATCCTCTGAAGATTCAAATCCTATGGCTATTGTTCTATTGAATCAACCTTCAGTTAAGGCTGGACCTGAACCTGTGCCAACTCTTGCAATGGATCTGGGCACTCTGCTCTCCACCTTTGTGAAGTCTGACTCAACAGTTGCTGCTTATGAGCCTGTTTCTACTGAAGCTTCATCATCTTCTGCTCCTACCTCACTCATTATGGACACTCTGAAAGAGCTAAAGAAGGAGAATGAAGTCTTGAATAAACGCATGGATAAGCAAGATCAAACAAATATAGAGATCAAGAACTGGATGGCAAAACAAAACGAATCTTCCTCTGAAATTAAGAATCTTCTGATGGCTCTTGTCACAAAGAAATCCTAGTTTCTTTTTGTCTCTTATTTGGATGTTTTGTTTGTACTTCTGGATATCTATTTTTAACCTTTTTTTATGAAATATTTCAAAATTTCTCATTTATTACACTTTTTGATTATGCAAAAAAGGGGGAGAAAATGTGCATTCTTGAACTAATCACTGTTTAACAGTTATGGGACTAAGTCTCAGACATTCTAACAAATTTGCAAGAATTCCTTCTGTGCAAAAGAATTTTTTTTTGCAGGTATCACTTTAACTCTGAAAGAATATTCCGGCTATGTTTTATCTTCTTGAAGAAGTTCTGAAGAAGTTCTGAAGAAATTCAAGAAGGCTGTCTATTACTCTGACTAAATAATCTCAGGATGTCTTATGCATAAAAATATTCATTTCAGGGGGAGATTCTTATCTCTTAATCCGTTTCTTTTCTTTATCTAAAATAATTTTTTGTCATCATCAAAAAGGGGGAGATTGAAAGAACAAGATTAGTTCTGACCTATCTCAAGAGTTTTAATGATAACTAAATTATATTTAAGATAATTTATGCTCTGATGAATGTGTTTTAAATGTCTTAGTTAATGTTCTGACATAAAACATTCTAAAGTACTAAGCAAAGATTATGAAGAAGTTCTTTGATAAAATAACCTTTTATTCAAACACATCTGCTGACTCTGGTAAGAACCTTTATTTGTTAAATATATCTTCTAACTTCTAGCAGGCTCCTTGATTCAGAAGATAACTTGAAAGCAAGTGCTGTTCAAAGTTCTTAGCAAGCAACGCACTGCCTAGAAGATAAGTGAAGCATGTTCTGACTTAAAGACATTGGAAGCAAATTCTGAAACAACGTTTAAACCAACTTGTCTTGTCAAAGCAAAGGAAACACGTTCTTACATTCTGAAGTTTGCTCATTAATGCAAAGACGGCTAAAAGCACTCAAGTGCCTACAACTAGTTTCTTGGAAAATGGAATATTGCAAGGATACACGCAAAGCATTTAATGCTCTCCATCTTTTCTGAAGGCAGCAACAGTCTTATTGTTCCTACTATAAATAGAAGGACATTTATTGCAAGCCACTAACTTTTGATGTGAACCAAGAAAACCAATCAAAATTTCAAAAGAAGAAAGAAACTACGTGAAAGATCCAAAAGCTCACAAACTCATTGTTCATACAATTTGTGTATTATATTCTAAGTGAAAAATCACAGTTGTGATATAGCTTGATTAGAAGCAAACTCTATTTCATTATCTGTAAAGATTAAACTCTTGTATTTGTTCCTCGAGAGACCAAGTTTGGTCAGATTTCTCAAGCAGACTAGAACTAGATTTAAGTCTTAGCGGTGTTAGTCACTTGTAAGTTTACTTGTACATTGTTAGTCACAACAGTTGTTGTGTGATTGTAATTGGTTGATTATAGTGGATTAAGTCCTTGTTGAGAAAGACGAAATCACCTTGGCGGATGGACTGGATTAGTTTGAGTTTAAACGAACCAAGATAAAAATAACTGTGTTATTCCATTATTGTTTGAGCTTTATTTCGACAGAACAAAAAGAGTCACTTATTCACCCCCCCCCCCCCCCCCCCCCTCTAAGTGTTTTCTTACCCCTTCATAAATATCTCAAATTTCATTTTTATTCCTTATTAAAAAAATAACATATTTTGGTCCCTAAAAATTTCTATTCATACAGTTTTAGTCCCTGCTATTTTCCAAAATTTTAAAAACTTTTAATTACCCTTAAACTTCTAAATTTTTGATTTTTTTTCATACGTGTTTAGAATACTATAAAATAGTTCTTTATCAAATTTTAGAATTTTTTAAAATGAGATGAATTTAATATGAATTTTTAAAATTTTAAAAGATATTGACGAAAGTAATAAAAATCTAGACTTAAAAATCAAATTTTGAGTTCTTTTTTTTCGAGAAACTGTATATAACGTTATAAAAATGTTTGTAAAATAATCATTCAAAAATACACATCAGTTTAACAGTAAAGACTAAAACTACATGTATAATAATTTTATAGAGAATAAAACATGTCATATTTTTTTATAAGGATAAAAAACAAAATATAATAATTTTTAGAGACCAAAAATATATTTAAGCTTTATTAATATGTTAAACAAAGAGTTCTAATTTCCACACACCAATCTCAAACTTCACTTTACAATTATCCTTCTCTTTCCTTTCCAATCATATAAAAATTCTCTAAATTAACTCTAACTTAATTACATTAAATTTCTAATTTAAAGGTAAATGTGCAAATTAAAATCTTTAGTTTTAGATTAAGCAATAAAGTGATATAATTATTTGCACAAAAATTAAAACTTAAAAAAAACATTGATTTATGTGTAAGTAAATAAACAATAAACAATTATAATAATAACTAAAAATTGGATTCGTCTTCGTCTTTAGACTTGCGGTGATTAACCTTCGCCAACTCAATCCCACACGCCACTAACATCGGTGCGTGCAACGAATCTACAACAACGGTAGCTAACATCATCTCTATCTGACAAACCCTAACAGTCAGAAATGGTAAACGAACGTGTTCGTTCCATTTAAGCTTGTTTCACAAAAGTCCGTAAAAAAATAGGACAGGACAGAGCGGACATAGTTGAGAATGAGGGCCTAAAATCTAGGTCCGTCCCGCAAAAGCGTGAGCGCGGAACGGAGAAAGCCCGCGGACTCTACACCTTTTAGGTTTAAAAATTCAAAATTTTATGTTAATAATCATGCCCACAAAAGCCTCGAAGAAAACAGGGCGGGACGGTCACATTACAGGGTGAGAGCCTAAATTCTTGATCCGCCCCCGCACTAAAGTGCGGGTAAAACGGGCATGCCCAACGGGCTGGACCCGTTTTGCCACCCCTACTTGCAGCATCGATCAAACGCTCCGGCAACTCATCTTTCGTATGCGCTTCCACAAAAAACCCCATATCAATGGTAACAGAAGTCACATAACCCAAAGCAAGGTGAAGAATCGCGTTTGCGATTGCACTGCTTCCAATATCAACATCGACTTCTAAGTAATTTGATCCTCTATGGTAATTGCACATTAACGCTTTCCCTAACAAACACACGCTATGGTTACCGACAAATTTTTTCATGATCCACGATCCGGTTCACCAGCTTGAACCGCTGTTTTCTGAACGAGTCGTCGTCGTTTACGAATCTGTAGAGGAGTGTGTTGGTGCACAAGGTTAATAAATGAAGAAAAGGTAAGAGAAAATATATTTACTGCAATGACAACTATAAAGCTTATAAATGATACAAATAATTACTACTACTAGTCTATTTATACACAAAGTAAATTGCCACGTAGGTCCTAAAAGGTAAATTTAATGACCAAGTTAAAAGGTACAAACTAGGAAATACTAAACTTAACAGCTACACTAACAAAATCAGAACCTAGAACACCAGAAGCTAAACATACTTCTGGGCGTAATCTCAAAAGCTTCTACTTTTAATTAATAATAACTTATGATTATATCAAACTACTGCTTCTAACGAAGCAGTCTCAAAAACTTACAACTTCTGGATAACAATCTCAGAAGCTCTACTACTTCTGAATAACAACGTCTTCTGAATATGAATTACTTCCAACACCATCCCTTAATTTATATTCAACTAACAAAAATTCTTCAACACCAATTATATCCCTCAAACAGGTAAAGTGTTCAGACTTGACATCCTTCGTCAGAACATCTGCAAGTTGCTTCTGGTTGTTACAGTGTGCAACTTCTAATACTTCATTTAGAAGTGCAGATATCTCCTTGAGAATCCACCTGACACTGAATGATTTCTTCTCTTTTGAAAGCTCAGTTAACTCTCAAGTCTTGTTTCTTTAAATAGAATCAAGCTCTTCTTTGATGGCCTTCAACCATACTTTCTTCTTAAGAGCTTCACAGGTTGACAACGTAACCACCAGTTGCTTATTAGAGCACCAAGAAATAGGATTTTCTAGATACAAACAAAAATATCCAGAAGTATTTCTTCTGTCAACTCTATCTTCATACAAATCAGAGTCTGAATAGCATATTGTTTACAGTGATTTCTGGTAAACAACCGCTAGTCCTCCAAACTATCAAATAATCTTAATGACTGTTATTTAATCTCTCTGGTAACTTGCAGGATCGACTAGATTGATCCTAGGATGTATTGGTCATTTGGATAATTCTCATTATAGAACTGATATTCATGGTTGGTATTTAGAATGTTGTGTAGGTGTTCAATTTACTTCGATTACTCTATTACAGATCTAATGACATAATCAAGTAAATGCGTGCGAAACTAAATTGCATGAATAAAGTTCAATTGTAAAGACATGTAAAACTGCAGAAAAGACAAGTAAATGACTTCGAAGCATAAAAACATGTAATGTAAAAGCGTTTCTGGAATGTAAAAGATTCGAAATATGAAGAAAGCATTTAAATGCAAGAAATCAGTAAAATGACTTTGAATGAAAAAGGTATTCGAATGATAAAAGCATGAAGATAAAGGCATGAAATATACAAAAGTTTCTGAAATGTAAAGGATTTGAAATGGAAAGAAAACATTTAAATGTAAGACATCAGTAAAAAGATTTCGAATGAAAATATTTTAATGTAAAGGCTTTTGAATGATATTGACATGAAGATAGAGGAAAAGACTGGAAATGATAAAGAGTTTTATTGAATCATAAACATTTGGTGTTATCATACGTACATTGTTCGTGCATTCGTTTCCCTAGCCATGTGGTATTTTGAATGTTTACTGGATTTTTGTACAATAGATAAGACACACGAAATCATAATGCTAAGACTTCTATTTATACTACTTCGACCATAACGGTCTTGCTATAAGATTCTGCCACGTTCAGAACATGCAAAGCAATGCCCCTCTCTAGCTTCCACGCGTCTTCGAATGCTCCAGCGCATATATTTTAAATTTCGAACATCCCGCTTGCGTTTGAAGTTCAAATGTTTTGGCACTCTTCGTTTCGAACACATTTCTTGGACACAGCCTTGTTAACACTTCGAGACTCCTTTTGAATATATCTCCATAACTGTCACTCGAAGCTCAAAGTTTTGACATGCCCATTCGAAGCACTGCTTCTACCATTTCGAAACATGACATCTTGCTTTATTCCAATCGAAACATCCAACTTGCTTCGCTTCGAACAATATCATCAAAATCTTCAGCCAACAAAATGCCCCTTTAAAATATGTATTTCGATTCCTTTGAGAAATACTTATTTTAAACATATATGCAAGATTTTGATGCGACCTTTGAATAATCGTAACATTTATTGCATATGACTCCAGTCACGTCAATCACGACGCTTTTCAGATTCCTTAACCGCCTTGAACCATTTCACAGCATGGTGCAGTTACAAAACAATGATTATCATTTAATCACGCCTATTATCAATATTAACTTTTACGCCACCTCCTTCTCAATCCAACCCACGACTACCACATATCACAATCTTACTCAGTGGATGTTTAAACTTCCACACTATAAAAACCCATCAACTTAGTCTTTTATTTTTTCTTCCCACATTATGAATCTTTTCTTCCTCTCTTCTCACTGAAACCCTAAAAAACTTCCAACACTCTTCAAACAATGTCTTCTTCAACATCATCTCAACTGAAAAAAGCTTCAAAAAAGAAAGGAAAGAACACAGGAACCATAATGGAAAGCAAGGTTGGCACCTATCAAGGCCAGTCTGTGCTTATTCCCCAGATGATCTCCAAAGAGAAGGAAATGCTATACGCATCTCAGGTACTAATTCCCACTAACGCCGTTGGCAAGAGGTTTGCTCTAATGGGCCCTCTTACAGTCTTTGAAATCTTAAAAGATACCAGAAAATTTTTCCCTGTTTGTTATAATTTTAAACCTTTGTTTAATAAAATGGATACCCCCAAGACAGGGGAGTCTTCTGATTCGACCACCGTGGAAACTCCAATCATTCCCCAAAGGACCCTTTTGTGCTTGATTATGTAAAGAGTAACTTTAAACCATTTCGATCCTGCCCCACTTCTGACACAGCTTACCACAACTGGTTTACTAAAGTAGAAGCCAAGAAATCCCAGCAATGGGAGGAATTAGGCATTTACAACTTGATTAAACTATCGAAACCAGGCTTTACCTATAGCCACCCATTATTATTTGCGTCCTTATATTTCTGGGACAGTACCTATAACACTTTCCATCTCCTGGTGGAATGATTACACCCACCTTTTTTGACATAGCAGCCATTACTGGGTTATCACCAATAGGAGAAACCTACATTCCTGACAATGAAGAGCATTCGAGTATTATTGACTTCGAAGTCAAGTTAGCCAGCTTTTCAAAGTTCATTAGCCACTATCATACTGAAGGAGACAGTGTGTTGGATGTGGAACACATTGCTTTCCTTACCTTATGGTTATCAAGGTATGTCTTTTGCAGCAGGTCCCTACAGGTAGCCAGCAGGTTTATTCCTCTAGCTAGAGATTTACATGAGAATCAGAGGGTGTGTTTAAGCGAACTGCTACTTGTTGATCTTTACGAAAGTCTAAGATCAGCTATGTCGAGTTTGAAATCCCACACCTCTAAAAACATACTGCTAGCTGGCCCCTTCTGGTTACTCCAGTTATGGCTCAATGCCATGTTTGAACCTTCACTATCAACTGCTAACACTATTGCTGAACAAGATCCGGAAATAGCGGATAGAATCGTTGAGGGAACTAGGCTGCGAAGACTTACCCCAAACGATGATAAAGATGACTTCAAAGTTCTCTTCTCAAAATACATAATGATCTTCTCCAAGAGACACAAATTCGAAGAGACCATGGCGCCCTTTGCCTCAAGGACTCATGGGCCATCGTGGTTCAACATGGCTCTCTCAGAAGCAATCAAAAGCAAAGAAATTCAAGATGTATGGAAAGCCTTTTTGCTTCCCAGACTAATCTCCTCACGAATTACTCCTGCTAAGAATCAAATCTTCCTTTTTGCTTATCAACCCAACTTCATTTCGAGACAATTTGGGTTGTGCCAACTAATCCCTGAACCCCTATTCCAAACAGAAAGTGCCATCACCTCTGGGCGAACCTTCAAGGCAAGAGAAGCCAAACTATAACAGGAACAATACCAAGGCTTCGCCCACTTTGAACTAATATCTTTCGAACCTACACACCTCACAGCAAAGGGTTTTCTAGAATGGTGGACAAAGTTCTATCAGTCTTATATGTTCGATACCCTCACTATTCAACAGAAACTAACTGATGCGTTCGATGTGCAGGTACAATCCAAGAAAGGTATGTTCACTCATGCCAAAGAGATTAGGGCTTTTCAAAATTATTTCGAAACTACTTATGATCCCACACACTTGGAATCCACTGTGCATCAAGCGGCTGAGACCTTGAAGGAAAAATTCAAAGAAAAAATTTCTAAGTTAAAACTTCCTTCAGGGTTGTCACCTGAGGATAGGTATAGGTTGGAATTCGAAATGCATCCACCTAAATTTCCTAGATTGCCTACCTCAGAACTGGCTCTGGCTTGGTTTCCTCCATACCCTTGGTGGTTCACTTGCAAAGAAATGTTCAAATATCTTCAAAAGAAACCAAAGCCATCTGAGACTGTGACATGGGCTCGACATTGGCTCCACGATTTCCCAGGAAATCTTCGCTATGACCTTTCTGCCATGTCGATTAAATCTGATCAAGGCGCAGGTGCGAATGCTTGGGAAAATCCCAAATGCTTCTCACTTTATACATTTTTAACTTTTGCCTTAATTGTTTCGATTTTCAGCCATCAGGATAAAGACTGCTGCTTCAAAGTCAAAAGAGGGAAGCGCCTCCCAAACATCTGTCGAAACCATTGATAATGTGACTCTATCCAAACCAACAACAACTGCTGCAACAACAACAACAACACCAGCAATAACCACTGCTCCAACTCCACAGGTAATCAATTAGCCTTGATGTTTCGAATACACTAATGTTTCATGATTTGTATCTAACTTATTTTTTAAATCTTTTCAGACTAACAAACTCCCGCCAACCACTCCAAAGAAAAGAAAAACAAACACTAC